TTTCATCTAATTCACACAAAGTTACCTACATATGCTAGAAAGTACGATCTCACTCTGCCATCGAGTCATTGGCCACTCAAAGTCACCCTATCGGACAGGGTAGAACTGCCACATGAGTTTCCAAGACTACAAGCAATAGAGGTAGATCCTATAAGGGGAACAATAACAGGGGGGTAGGTGTAGCACTTCTTAGAATAATCAAGCATTTGAAATCCAAAGGGCAGTATTTGCCCAAGGACAAAGTTTAGAAGTCAGGGAAGATTTAAAAAGGAGGAATTCATCGTAAAAAATTTAAAACTCTTAAGCAGCCTAGAAAAGTATTTGCATTATAGTGAGCATTCAAAAATAATGTTTTGGACCTTGTTGAATGTTGTTACTGCGAGGTGCCATGAAGGAGGTCCTGACTCATAGAAACCCAGTGTCCCAGAGCAGAACACGACATTGCCCTGCGCCATCCTCACAATCGTTCTCATGTTCGAGCCCATTGTGGCAGCCACTTCTGCATGCGAGGGAGGGGCTCACTGAGGCCGAATCCCCGCCACAGCACCTACGACAATTTTGTTTCACATGAACCAAGAGAAAATGGATGCTGCAGAGAATCCAATCCAATCTAGAGAAATCTTGAATACAAGAAACTACTGTGGGAAAATGGAAGTCAGCACAGCAGATATTGAACTTGACCACACGGTCAACCCTATTCTGTATGAGTGTGCAGGGGGTTGTTGTCTAAATAACCTTATGTTTAATTCCCACTTGAGATGCTTAAGACTTTAGAGGTTTTGGAAGAATTTCAGGCCCTGTCCCCTTTTGCTTAGATGTGGCGTGTGTACTATTTATATTTATTAAGATACAGTATTGCGTGGCGTCACCAGGGTGGATGCTAGACAGATGACATTGATCAAACTGTGTGCCTCATGTACTTCCAGCTATGTGGCAATAGCCAAGAGAGTCAGGTTTTCTAAGTTCCATCTGTTTGCCTTCGTAACATGCAGATCATTTTAATGATCAGTTCATACGATTGCCGTGAGGGTACAGTAGGTAATGTAGTTATGATGTTTGCATGACAGCCCCGAGAAGTTTGCCACCTCCCACTTCCAGAGAGAGCTCACTCTCTCTTCTCCAAAAGGCAGCTCCCATGTAGGTATTACTCTGATGAATTTGTTTACAGAACACAAGGGAAGGATAATCATGTCTACTGTGTAACTATTTACTGAGGTAAAATATGTGCCCTGCCATTTGCATGCCCTATGATATCATCTATATTATCATTTTGGTAGGAAAACTTAAAAAGCCAATGTAACCATCATCTGGGATTATTGATAACACGCACAGGTAGTCAGTGCTGTTTGGGTGGGGCAGGGGAGTCCATGTCACTGCCTCACTTGGGGTTTGGAATCTTCTCTTTCCAGCCCTTTCTGTATCCCTCTTACCGACTCCCTGGGATTCCTGGTCCCTGCTTTTGAACAATGTGGATTTATGCAGTGGCCACTTTGCTCATGTGAAATCGTGAAGATGGAATGGCAATATTATTGACGCCAAAAGAAATGGTTCTGGCCAGGACTTAGCACCGATGTAATGCTCTATCTCCCTAGAGTTCAGCTTCCTACAGAATGACGGGGCTAGATATTATATCAGCAAGAACTCTTTCAAGCTTCATACTTGAAGCCAAATTAACATAGGCAAAAAGAAAATGTGTGGCTGCATGAAGTTTTATTGTCCAGGAGTGTCCATTATTTAGGGCCTGCTATAACAAATACCCTGAGCTAAGGGCTTCCACAGACAGAGGTGCATTTGATCACAGTTTTGGAGACTGGATGTCCACATTTTGGATGCTGACTCGAGAGTCCGGCTTTCTCTGCACACTCTCGGGGAAGGTCCTGGCCTCTCCAGCTTCTGTAGCCTTGGGGGATCTCCATGTGGCTTGGCATCAGTCTTATCCCATCTCTGCTTTGACTTGGGCAATAGACTCTGGGGCCAACCTCTTTCAGATGCTCCTTTATTTAAACAAGTGGTTATTAAGGCCCAGGGCATTCTCTCTAATATGCACCAGCATATTTTATTTATGAGCAGCTTTTAATAAAATAATGTGA